CTAGTCATTCTAACCATGAGCCCTAGTTTACGCACAACATTCATTCAATTTCACTCACGATCTTAAACGGGAGTTCACTACTTAACGCTTGCCAAAAGGTTAGATAAACACCAAGCACTCTTTCTTTAGGGTGAATGAATATTAATATTACCGTACCACAGTGTGACTGATCGCGAACGTACTGTAGAGAGGGACAATCCTTCCATTGCTCCCGACTGTCGAAACTAACAAAAAATAGTACATTTGTATCAAAGCCGATTTCATCGAGAATCGCAGGAAATTGGTGAGTCAGGCACACCGACACGTGGAATATTTCAGGTCCTGCTCGGAGGAGGGCACAAAAAAACAAGAGCAATCCCGTGCTAAAACTGTGGTGTATGAAAGCGCTTAGTAGCGACGACTGAGCTGCGGAATGAAGTGAAAGTGGGAAGGAAAGCAAAATCATCGGAAAGGCTTGAATTAAAGGCCTCAATCTTCAGTAAGGTCGGATGTGGTAAGATGGCGAGACAGGGCGATCAAAGAAGACAAAATACGCAGTGAGATCATGCCGTTAGAGGGACCAGGCTGATCCTCTACTTCAATCTCACGTGGTGGGAAGCGTTGCAGCGAGGGTCGATGGTTGCAGGTTCGTACGGATTAGCGCCCTTTCTGCGATAAAGCTGTCATGGCCTATGTAGGTAGGGACCCACAACTGCTGGCTGTTCATTTCTTCGCGGAACTTAGGAAGGAACGACGGGAATCTAGAACAGTATGAAAAAGTCCCTAAAACGATGCTGTTGCCCATATTCGGCTACGGGATTATTGTGCTAATGTACAGTAGCGGTCAAAAGTGTTCGCCGAAACGATTTTCAGTGCATTATTTTTTCTCGCTTGAGCAACGCCCTCCAAAGATTGATATACTATGTTTTCTAGTGTTTTTATATCCTCAAGCCTTAAAGAATCAGGATGTTCAAAAGAAAAATTTTCGAGGTCACCATTGATTTTTTCTGGCAAAAAAAGTGAAAGCACGGAAAACCGCAATTTTGGCGAACACATTTTGACCGCTACTGTACCCGGTACCAGCTCCACAAAAATTCCCAAATTGCTTACATATTTTGGAATTAAAAACTCGGGGTGTGTTTATAGTTACGAAGCGTGCTGTACAAGGAGCAGATAAAGCACGTTCGATTTTGAGGCCGGCACTAGATGGATTTCTCCGGCTTGTCTATTTGGTGGAATCAGCACTTACAGTGCAAGAAGGAGGATAATGCGCAAACTCAGCCCAAAGCATCATAACTGTTCAGAAATTCTGGGCTTAGGGCCCTTTTGGTTACGGTTCCCACCTGAATTCTTCTTTTTACTGGAGGCATTCTCTCCAGCGATGGACTTGAGTGCCTCATAACAGCTAACCAGCTAACATAGAAATCACCTTTCAGGAAGCGTGTCGTTGTTTATGGCTTTTTCTGGCATTTTCATTTTCAATTGACGCTTGCCTTTCTCGAGGTATTTCATATTCATCAAACTTGCCATACGACGCTCCACATTTGGCGAATACTTGGCCTAAACTTATTGGGAATAAAGCTGCTTGAGAATGAGTTTTAGTGACAAAGTAAAATGCACACTACTAGGTTGATTTTCATTGTGAAATACATCATATACCCACCAGGTACTTCAAGAAGTTGTTTGAGGCATGAGACAACACCTTGACTCTTAGACGAGTTGTCAAACCCGGATCCGTGTTTCAGACAACACTGCTTACAAATACACCCACCATTCGGCACCGTCTCATGCCAAGGCAAGGATTCCACGATGGGACGGTCTAATGGTAATGGCGGAAAGATCGGAGAGGGAGAAACTCACGTAATTAGAAGACAAAGGGACCCTTTCCCCCAATGGTGTGGACCGACACGCGATTCCCCAAGAAGAAGAATACCTTAGGCGATATTAGGTTGGAAGGAAAGTTCCTTAACACTTGTAGCTCAATTTTTGAATTTATTTTTTTTATTCTTTATTTATTCAATGATCCATAACATATTGACCATTAGATACAACAACACTACGCCAACCTTCGGGCATTTGGGTGACACCGCAGAAATTAGAAATTAGGAAGATTTTTGCCAAACAACCTTCTGGTGTCGGATTTGCGCTCGTTTACGTCGTCGAGCTTCCTGTTCTCCAGGTAATGAGCAAGCGAGCAGGAAAGGTTGAAGAGGTGTATAGATAGGTTTGACGAATATGGCAGACGGGCAGCCGCGGTCCTGCCTGGCTTCAGAGTCTTGTGGCTTGAGACCGAACACCCGCGACGTTGCGCGTTGTCGTGAAGCAGGTTGACTTGTCGCTATATTCGGCGAAGCTCTTCTGCAATCTTTTCGAGCAGCTAGCATTGTGAAGCCCTTGTACTCGTCAATCCTCCAGACAGATCATCACCCGTGGGAAATACCGTCAAACGTCAAAATGGGCAGTAGTCGTGTGTTGCGTCAGAAAGATCAAAGTCTTCGCTGCGGAGCGTTTAAACCAAGCCGAAACCGCCATGTGAGAGAACGTGCCCAGGCCTATCCCGGGACTGATCCTGACCACCTCTGGTGGGCAGATCTCTCTAGGCGGAGCTCTTACAGAATGAGCGCTCGGAGTGTCTGGCGGGAAAAGTTGATTTAGTGCCATGCAAACGCCATTATTGGGAAAGCTGATTTGATCACCGTACGTAGCACGGTCCACTCCTACTATATACCACCCATGGAAGATTCCAGAGCATTCGGGAGAAATCCAGAAAGAGCGCGAATTGAGTGTTAAGGAAGCATGCGCTAATCCGCAGCGCGCACGTCCATCGGTTGGCAACAATCGCAGGTTCTCGAGCGTTCAAGCAGAGAGAACGTTAGTGTTGAAGAGGGCAGCATCGATGAGAGTGATCCACGGGCAGGGAAGGGATCCCATTTCTAGATCCTGGGCTACTTCTCATGAGGTTTGTGTTTTCTTCATCCTGACATCACTGACCATCTCTAGCTTGATTCTGATGAGACGCCTTTTGATCGCAAACTCTGCCTTCTGCTCAGCTTTTTGCGTTATACCGTACCAAAGAAAGATGCGGGTTCGAACCCGCTCGGGGTTAGAGAAAGGAGTTTTGCCCATTTAAACTCCGACAACGAATTTCCTGCGACAACTTTGGCATGGTGAACTGCTGCCAAAAACAGCAGTCGACTATCAAAAACATATATCCTTCTGGATTCATTCCATTGTGATAGCAAAACTATTAGGGATTTGCGACAGAACACGACTGCCACGTGTTTCTTGGAATATTACCATAAATGAAAGGTTTTCTAAACTTTTTTTTTGCTCGAAAGAAATTCCTCGACAACAGAGGTAACCTTAAAAAACGGCTGCTGTTTGTTCACATACTCCGCTAGCGCTTCACCAGTCAGCTCCCGAGCTTCCTTTGGAATAGGATCGAACAACAAATTCTTCTGAAAGTTGTAGAATTCAACAAGCCATCCGGGAACGATGGTCGAGTCTCATAGGATCTTTTTAAGTGCGGGAGGAGCCTGCAACAGTCAGAATGTTTCATGAAAAAAAAGAGTTGAAAAAGGGTTGAATATGACAAAGCGTCAGGCAGAGGAACATTCAAAACGAACGCACTCCAGCCAAATAAAAGCAAAAGGCGCTCCACTATTCCCACCCCTCACTGTTCAAGATCCGCAGATTTGTGTCACTTTTACCCTACATGACCATTTTCCCTCGGATTATGAAATTACACTTTAAGTTCAGCATTCTGCCCTCACAGAACAAGAGAGAAAACCCACCAGTGTGCCAAATTCACCCACTTGTTCGGTGAGCAAAACGAGCCCCAAGTGAACTTCTCAATAACCCCGGAGCTTCTCTTTGGAGGGCTTGGCATGGTTACTCCGACAGTTCATGTGCTGTCGAACCGTTCCTGTATTTCGATTGCGGGGAAGTGAAAAATCGAGTATCATCAAAAAAGCAAGCAGTCCAAGTTCATGCTTTTGAGCATCCAGGTTTGACTTGAGTAGTTATTCTGCCATGAAAGTTTATGGGATAACGGAGGGTTTCGGCTCAGATTAGACCACAAAATGATTGGCTAATCCATATCGGCTGGAAGCAAAGGTATAACCAGAGCAAGCCAAGTTGAGTATCAACAAATAAGTCTGCAGAAAAACGAAGCGTTTTAGAGGATGTCATCTGAAAGATACAGATAGGAATTAGTGAAGCGAAGTGCTCTCACCGATGCTTGGCACATTCCCTGAGGAAAGCGCTACGAAGAAGGCGAAGAAAGCGGGCAAAGCCTGAAAAAGAAATTCACAACCCAGTTCTTCAAAGGTCCACAGATTCAGTGCCTGGTGAACAAAACTGCGACCCAATCGCCCTCTTCCCTATCCGACCGGCTTTCCGCCCTCATATAGCATGCATCATACAACAGGCCCACATATACAGGGGGGGCCAAAAAAAAAAGACATTTTGCCTATGTCGGACTTCGGCTCTTTTTTCTTCGCAGAGATTGCTGTCGTTGACGGGAGTTCCTCAGCAGAGTATTCCCTAAGTGTTCCTCTATTAGTGTACGCAGGCTCTCCTTCACTGCCCTCACCGTCTTCAGAATATGACGTCATCTGTCACCGTCGTCAGGCTCAAGGAGGTCTACCGTAAGAGCTTCAGCCTGAAGCTCTTACGCAATTTCGTGAATCGATTTAATGTTGGATAGTTTTCTAGAGGCATTAGCTACCACTGTGCAAATCCCCTCGGAACTAGCTTTCCAGTAAGGGTCGTTATGGTACACGATCCTTCGAAGACCCCATTGAGATCGACCAGTGCACCATGTTTCCAGGGCTAATTCTTCTGATGCCGTCCACGTACGTGGCCACTATGAAGATTTTCTTATAGAATGGAATGCACTCTTTAATAATAAGTTGGAACCGTTCGGTCTGAGTTGAGTAAAATGTGCTTAAATCCATCTGGAAGTGGAGGCAAAATGTCTTTTTTTTTTGGCCCCCCCTGTATATATATATATTTATAAATTACACACATTGACGGTGTTTCCTCGTTTAACAACGGCAGCTTTCGGTTGATGGCTATTTAAATGGATAGGAGAGAGTACGAATAAAGGACAATGCCTTATCGCCAGATAGGACCTTATCATGGTACCACAACATACAAGAGTCACCCACAGTGCATATCCTCAGTACAGCTGCACTTCATAAAAAAAAGCCACAAATACGGTACCGCCGAAAAAAAAATCACAGCAAACGTTTTTTCCTTCACTCATGTCAAACTTGGTATTTCGGACTATTTTTAGCATTTTTTTCGTATCTATACATCACCAAGTAAGACGAAAGAGGCGAGAAACCAATTCAAAAAAATAAGATGATTTCTTCAAACGTCCATAAAAGGAAGATTTAAAGNTNGCTCCTCTATTNCTTTGGTCTGATTTCTACTTAATTTTCTCTCAGTAGATCACCTCTAACTATGAAGCGCCCTTCTGATCAGATTCGTTGACAATGGAGCAGTTTCCCGCCATTGGCGCATGTATGATCGCGCTTTCAAGACAATATAAGAGTCAGAGTCTACGGAAAGAAAGGCTGTCGGAAGGAAGAAGTCTCGCGGAGGCGCTATCGAACGAGCCAGCTCAGTAACGCCGTGCATTACCACTACTGCAGACGACCTGCGATGAGGAGGACCATGAAGCTCACGTTGTGATCCTCCTCATCGCCCCTTATCAGTTTTTATCATTTTCTATCACGCCATCACCTAGGATCCCCGTCCGACTCTCTCTACAAATTCTTAGTGTCAGTTTCCATGTTACTACGAGGCGTATTATGAAGTTCGTAATCGCAGACATACGATACGGGCGAGCGCTCTGTATACAGATGGGTAAAAAACACTTTTTGCCCTCGTCGCACTTCAGCGACTTTTTCGTGGCAATAGTTGCCGTCGTTCTCTCATAGCAGAATATTCCTCAGATGTCCCCTGATAAGCATAAGCAGGATCTCCTTCACTATCACAATCCCCTGAATATGACCATTGCCGTCATACACAAGGAGATCTGCAATAGTTGCTTCAGCCTGAACTCTTTCTAAATTCTCGGATCGGTTCACTGTTCGATAGTTTCTAAGAGACATCTACTAAATACAAATCCCGTTCAAAACCTTGCTTTTCAGAAAACCGTTAGTGGTACACACGATCCTTGAGGTCTCGGTGACTCTGCGGGCGGCAGATTTTTCTGCAGCCGTTTTGAAGTTTATATTTTACAAAATGGGACGTGCACATCAATTCTGAGTTGGGCATTCGATTTGTATTAAGCAAAAAGTGATCAGATTCATTTAAATGTGGAGATAAAATGACTCTTTTTATTGCCCTCCCCGTATAGTGGGATTCTTCTATGCCACACAATAACTTAACTATAAAGGACATGACTGCTGCGCGTGACTAACCATAAGTATGCCTTGACTTAGCGGAGTTCTGCCACGCCTTACAAAATTGTCACATGGGTTCAGGTCTAATTCCCTTTTATTTTCTACTCATGGAAAGCTAAAGGAGTAAGGTGTAGAGGAACGCGTTACTATGCAACGATGTTTACAGGCGCTGTACGGCAGAGTGCTGGCTAGTAGAGAAGAATCGTACTCACGGTAACACCGATAGGAAGCTTATATGTCCAATAAGGTAGACCTCGATCGTTGTTGGTGAGCTCTGTCTATGATTCAGGACATATCTTGCAGTCACCAGTTATCCCCAAATTTGCGTTTCCGTAAGGAGACGAGCCGCTAAAATCCGCTTCTTCCAGACCATTAAAAGCTTTTGAACTTTACTGCGGTAGTACTCGAATAAGACCGCCGGTCTAGCGGACAAACTCAACAGTGCCCCAACCAGGGTCAACCGCCCGTTGCGCAAAGATCAACGAGGGGGTCGTATTTGACCAATGAAAGGGAGGGGAGTCGTAACCTGAAGTACCAATCAAAAAATTTGAAAGGCACGGCTGAGTGGCAAAGAGAACAGAGCTTTCAACTACCACTGCGACTACGCACCACAGACGATTGAATGGCGCATCCCAGAGCGAGATTTCTTACTAAAATACGTCGTGTTCCAGTTAGCATGAGCGAAAACTCTTTCAGAGGACCTTTCATTCCTTCAGACCAAATCAGAAGAAGAAAATGTGGCGAACTTGGCCGATTACCACTAGGGTCTTAATAGAAGCCTCTGGCAGGAGAAAGGTTTTTCTCTCAGAATATTTTTCTTTAAAGATAATCTAGCATATTCTATGAACTACTAACCTGCTTAATTTCAACCTGTCTTAATTCACTGTCTGTACGCCTCTCAAGAACCGATTTGTTGAAGCTTGTGGCCTTTAGAGGTTTGCGAATCTCCGTTTCAAGTCAATGCGCTAAAAACAGTAGAGGAAAAAAGAACGGAACAACGGGTGAGGTGCGAAAGAGTGGCCCATAAAGGACAGTTATGAGACGTTGAGTGCGAGAGCTTTGCGTTCGTATCAGAAATGGGAGCACGGTTGATTTTTCAAAGAAGTGAACCCTCGATATTTAAGGCTTTTTTTAGAATAAGAAAAAAATTTGGAGTTTCAATTCTCTGTATTATACCTAGAGGCCGCTTTTTTTGAAGAAAACAACGGACGTTGCGAATGAAGTTGTGCTGGGCTATGGCGTGACTCGCGCAAGGTTCAATTATTCAGTTTGAGGGAAGAAGGGATTGCGACGTTTCGAAATTAAGCCTTGGTAGTTTCTGGAAAGTAGAAATCCTGGGATTGCAGGTATGTGTTAACCAGTGGAGGCGAGATAGGAAGTCAAAAAATTTCGCTTTGGAAATTCTGCTATTGGGGGTTATCGGAAGGTTCGTCTGGTCACGAAGTTGACTCCATTTTTGGCGGGTGTGCCAATGGCAATTGGCGCCAGCTTGGTAAACGGTACGATACCCAATAACCCCCTATCCGAGTCTACGCACGAATTCATGTGAATTAGTTCGTTGGGCCACTGCGGCGATGGCACGATGATCACAAATCGTTGTTTAAACTTCCGGGTTTGGGGCCCTATCCGGAAAAATAACAATGTTGTTTTTTGGCAATCGTCTTGGTAAACGCATATTTTTCTCCCTTTTCTTACTTCTCACTAAGGGCCTAGGCAGAAATGATTGGGGATGAAAATCGAAGTGGGTTAAACGCGCCCGGGTGGTTAAGTGGGACTGTGTTAGAGATAGTGGGTGTCCTAACTCACTTTGGCGTCATTTTCGTTCAGTCATTTTCGTAAGTCATGACCCCAAACACCCTATACGTAGTATATCGATAGTCAAATTCAGTGGAAGCGGCCCCGAGGAGCCGAATAGCGGCCAACAATGAATCATATTCGTGATCAGGGACCCCAAATAACCCCTATACAGAAGTTTACAGCGAATTTAGTGGGAATCAGTCGTGGCGCCACTGGCGCCAAATGGCGCCAAATTGGCGCCAGCGCCAAAAATGAATATCATATTCGTGATCAGGACCCTCGATAACCCCCATAGCCGAAGTTTCAGCGAAAATTATTTTTTTGACCCATCTCACCCCTCCTGGGGTTGTAATAGTGCAATAGTGCCGAAATCCCTGTGATCACTACCGTGCCTAAGTTTACTGTTGCCACGATTCTCGTCCTCTGAGCAAGACAAAGCGCGCGGACTTACCACTGTCCACCACCTTCTCATGTCGGTGACGGCCCATACACCGATGATGGGCCTAAAATATGTAAAAGACACAATAGCTAATACAGGGGGGGGGGTCGTACTGATACCCTCCGAAAGGGAGGGGGTCGTAAAAATTTTGAAATCTGCCAAACGCACGTTGACCCTGTTTCCAACCTCTTTATACCGCCATTCGGCCACAACATGGACTGCCTTCTCATAAAATGTGTCCTGCGTGAGTTTTGTAGACGGCTTCTCAACCATCCTTCTCTTATGATTTGATATTATGCTTCCATAACGTCATTCCAGGATTAGCTGATCCACCTCACTGCAAAATTGAGCACTTTGAGCCTTCCTGGTCACCAATGCTTCTTGTCAGACTTTTGATGTCTCCCTTGTGGCCATGTTGACTGAATCTGGCACCGTCATACCTAAAGGTATCATTTTCAAGCCGGCACAAAGTCTTAGGGTCCAAACATCTATGTTTTTAAATCTAATTCGTTCGCTAATCCTGTACATTTCAGCACATACCACCCATATCGGAGTCTCGAGTGGTTTGATAAGTTA